AGAGAATTCTATTTCCTTTTGTGCACCTAAATAGCAGTTTTTCAGCCATGCACCTTGGCATTTTTGGCTCTGCCTCTGTACTGTGGATATATAAGTTTGCACATGTAGACTAACCATGCACAGTAGACTGCACACTAGCAGTAGACTGCACACTAGCCCATACCTGATCATAAGTCTGGAGGGGAAGGAAGGTCCTCCCATGTTTCAGGCCTAATAGCTGAGCAGTTAGGATACTTGCCCAAAAAGCAAAAGACCTGGGTTATAGGTCCCCCTCACCTACAGGATGCCTAAACATGTATCTTGTTAACTTCCTAGCCCAGTGCTCAATCCACCATATCACAGGTTAGGAATTACCCAGACCCCTCACTTTGCATTTCATAGTTGTTGAATTAAATGAATAGAGAGGAATAACCTAGGAAATTTTTGCCTAACTAGGAGCAAGGCTCCAAGCTAGAACGCATGGCAGCAGCTAAATCACTGAGCCTTATATTCTCTCCAACCTTGCTCTATTCTTCCTGGCCTCACATATTTTCCTCTCTTGGCTGCCCAGAGGACCGGTTTCTAAAGGAGCACTGGAAAGACAACTGAATAACAATAATGCCTAACCTTTCATTCAGTAGTTAGAGCATTATACTAGGAAGTCAGAAAGACATAGATTCAAACACCCTTGGAGAAAGTAGGGGCTAGAAATCAGGTCTCCAGATTCCTGGGTAAAGGTTGTAATCATTTAGCTATCTGGGTTAATAAATGGGAGGGCCCTTCCCAGCATCTAATACTTACTTAGATGGTTTATGACCAGCTACATTTTCATGACTTAGATGAACTTACACTTTCAGAATGGACACAGGTGTGTAGCTATGTACATACCCAACATGTGCATCCACATATATACATCCATAATGCAGGAGCAATAAAATCATAACCTGTACATAAGTACCAAAAATGCCACTTGTAAAGCTAGAAAGCTGCCATTTAGGTGCACAAAATTAAAAAGGAATTCTGTCCTCAGCCTTTTATGATTCACACTATCAGTGCTTCTGTGACTATGATTGCTGTGAGAGGTAGTTACTTAGTCTGAAGTCAGGCAGAAGACAGGCAAACAGGTTTATAGATCAGGAGTTGCAATCCCTGTCATGCATGCCAGAGCACTGCATGAGATACCACTTTGCTCAGCACGCCAGAGCCAACCCAGGTTCTGGGCAACTGCTGCCAGCCACAGAACCCAGGCTGCTTGCAGCAAGTGGCCACGGGGCTGCAAGTCCTGCTGCAAGCAGCCTGGGCCCCATGGCAGGCAGCAGCTGCCCACTCCCTGGGCCAACTGTGGCAGGCAGCCAGGAGGCTGCAAACAGCTGCACTGGGGTCCAGAGCCCTGACCAGTCTCCATGGTGGCAGTGGGTGCATGTATATCTCCAGGCAAACAGCAGGGAAGGAGCCCGGGTTGCGCTGCCCCAGGTCCTTTCTTGGCCATGCACACTGAAGCATGCATGCAGCTGCCACTGCCATGGAGCCCAGCCAGGGCTCTGGAACCCAGTGAAGCTGTTTGCAGCCTCCCAGCTGCCTGCCACAGTCAGCTCAGGCTCTGGGCAGCTGCAGCAGGGAGGCTGCACATGCCTCAGGGTACAGAGCCAGGAAGAGGCCTGGCTCTCCCTCACCCTCCTGCACAACCCTGGCACCTCCCTCACCATCTGCCTGGATGTGCATTTGTACCTGCTGCCAGCAATGAGGATTGGGGCCCCTTGTGGGTCCCCTGACATCTGCCTCTGGCACGCTGAGTCGAGGCCTGGGTGGAAGCTGGGGTGTTTTTGGCACTCTAGCCAAAAATATTGCCAGCCCCTGTTATAGACTAAGTAAATCAGAGAGGTATGAGAGATGCGATCCTGCACTCACTTCATCAAATGCTGTGAAAGGATATCCATAGAGTAGTGCATTAAATAGAGAAAGAGATATGAATACAAAAGGTAGGGAAGGGAAGAAGGGAATGGGGTCAGGGAGCAGTGCTGGGAGAGGCAAACAACTAATAAACCCATAGAGACAAAGGGGTCAGAAAAGCTAATACTGGTAATGGGATAAGAATCTGTAGTCCCTGTTTAGACCACACTTAACACAATTCCCTCTGTGGACGATTTCTTGCTCTGCAATTTTGCGTTCAAGGTTTTTAAAGTTTGTTGTTTAAGAACAGCTAGACTGGGGTCAGTGCTGGAATGTCCAGGGAGGTTAGGGTGTTCTGCTACAGGTTTATTCTTGTTTTGGAACTCATGTCAGATCACGGTTCACTCATTCTTACCCATAAGGATTACCCAGTCAATCTGATATAGACAGCAGAGGGGCACTTTAAGCAGATGATGGCATATACAATGTTGGTAAAGGTGCAGGTGAATGCACTTCAGATGTTATAATCCATGTTCTTGGCCCATAGATAATAGGGTCTGTATTGCTGAGGGGGACAGTTCGGCACAGCTTGCATCCAAGTCTGTTGCAAGGACCAGCGCCTTGGTGAGAACAGAAGTTTGGGTAGCTTGCTGCTTTAGAAATACTGTTTGAGGCTGGGGGAACAACCAGGAAAGGGTTGTTCCTCACAGATATCTTGAGATAATCATCCTTTTTTGGGGTGGGTGGAGGGAGGTGGAAGTAATTGATGTGTCCAAGGTGTTCAAGCTGGGGGCAATAAGTGACAATTATTCTGTTGTCCTTGTCTTGGGGTTGGTATTGTAGCAGGTTGGAGAAAAGTCTGAGTTTGGTTTTGGTAATTTGAGTGGTTACAGTTCAGGGATTGTATTATAATGGTAGGAATCCCTTCCTTGAGATCCTTAAGGTGTGTATCCTGGTTGGTGGGATCAGAGCAGATTCAGTTATAATGTAGAGCTTGGCTGTAGACAACAGATTTACTGATATGCTTAAGATGAAAGCAGGTGCTATGAAGATAGCTATGGGAATTGGCCAGTTTCTGATAGTGTGGTGGCCACGTGGCTGTTGCAAATTTGCAACATGGTGTCTAGTAAATTAATTTGGTGGGTGAATTGAAGTGTTAGTTTGATGGAGAAATGAAGGTGTTAAATTTCTAGGGAAATTTCTGTAGAGATTCCTTCCCCTGTGTCCATATGACAAAGATGAATTGTGTACCTTAGATATATCATGGGGATGAGAGGGTAGCTGTGGAAGAAGTGGACTTCAAGTTATCTCATAAATATACAGCCATATTGGGAGGCCATACATCTGCCCATAGCTATGCTATTCCTTTCTAGGTAATGGGAATCTCCAAATCTGAAATAGTTGTGTTTGAGGACAAAGTGGGAGAATGTGGTTTCATTGTTGCCTTCTCTGGTGTTTCTAAATTTTTATTTATGTACTTCTACTGAAATAATATATATTAAAGACCCCTACATCTATATGCTTCACATGCCTGTATGGCTTCATGTATTCTTTCATTTAGAGTGGTGATACCTGCCTGTGTTTTGATTGGCTGTCCCTATCTGTTTCCATAATGAACTTAATTACTTCTTACAAGTAACTACTGAAAATGAAAAATGACTTTTCAGGTACATGGTCCCTTCAACAGGAAACTGCCTTACAGTACAGTCCCCTAAACAAAACAGCCTGATTTGCCCATCCTGCTGGCTGTTGCTACTGCTACCAGGGCTTAAAGATGGTGTATCTCAGACTTTTGATGTCTTTTTCATGAATAAACTGGAAGAATATGGGATTCCTACAGACTGAATTCCTGTAGTAGGACAATTAGATGATTTTTATTTTATTTTTGCCACCCGATTTATATCAAAGAAGACAAGCTACCAGTCATCCACACAAGGAACCAAACCAAAGGAAAGAAAATGTAGAAGACCCAATTTTCACTGTGAATCTAAACCACATAAATAAAATGTTATCAACTTACATTCTCTGTGATTCATGATGTGCAGTTACAAAGTGCACATCTTCCATATGAATTGTATAATAGAAAATTAAATGTGAACCTATATTACATGTGACGGTAAGAGTATTGAAAAGAATTTAAGGGGAGGAAGAAGCTTGATGGAAATCCAAGCAGTAATAATCTCATCAAGAAAGTGGCACTTAAAATTCACCTGCTTGTAGTAAAACAGAGCAGAGATAGTATAGAGATATCCCTATGAAGATTAAATATCCCTCTTTTAGTGACAGGGGCATAATATAGATAGATTATGGGAACCTTAATATAACACGCTTTTCCAAATCGCAGAAGCAGAGCTGTAAGAATTTATTGTTATTGTTTTCCATGTAAAAAGTATTTTCAAATCATCCATGTATTGCAGACTGCGCAGAGGGAACAAATTTACTTAGCTTTGATATTCACTGAGGCATTTTATTGAATTCCATGTAAAGCTTCATCTTGCAGATAATATAAATTACACTTTAAACTACTGTAAGAGAAATTACACAATACATATTAAAATATATATTGTAGTGAAAAACTTAATCTCCTTGTTGAGCAATGTAATTTTTTTAGCTTAAAACTTAAAGCAGTATTACTTATCTTTGCGCTTTAATTAGTTAAATCAATTTCAAGTCTTAGACTGTGAAAATTAGGTGATTAAAAATTAGAGATTGCATGAAGCTAAGAGATGAAGCTGAACTAGTAACAGCAACATTTGAATAGTAAAGGCATCTGGGTGTATAAATTAAGTAGATAAAACATGGGACATGGCAGAATATAAACTTGGAGGCCATAGTAAAATAAAATCTGTCAGAACTTTTTGCTACAACTGCAAATATAAGGTATCACTAATAACTTAAATTTCCTTTACACACTATGATGAAAAATTTTTTTTAAGTGTTTTAACATGATAAAATATAGTTGCTATGTATCTTTTTGGAAGAGAACTGGAAATGCCTATTAATGAGGTATGAAGGCATTATGTAAGAAGAAGCTGATATGCATATGAAATAGGCAAGAGGATAAGGCAAGCAAGGAAGTATACTTTAAATAGGAACTAGAAAGAGGACAGAAACCTAACAAGGGTACTTACTGGAGAAAACCACATCACTTTAAGAATCCAAATTGTCAATGAGAAATTCACAACAAGGATGATAAGCAGGAGGAGGACAAACAGGTAAAGGCAACGCTTTCTCCATCCATAAATGCCAATTTTGTAGACATATTGGTTCTTTGGCCTCTCTAGGCTAGTGCCTGGTGTTGTTGTGGTATATTGTTCACGTACCATTTGCTATAGAAGGAAAAAAACAGAGAATGGTTAATTATATTAATAATTTTTTCATTTTAAAATAGATTTTTTAAAAGAAACATCAATGAAATATCAAAATGTTATTCCAAAAGCAAGTAATACCGATTGGATAAAACTTGTGAAGTCACACCTGGAAAATGTTTTTATAATACCTCATTTTACTATTCAAATTAATGTTATATTTTATCTTTTGGTATAAACAATGTGGAGTTGTTTTAGCATACCTGCTGTTTTAACTGTCATCTTTATTAGGCTTACTACATACAATATCAACTTTCCTTCTTTTCTTCATAATATTCCATAAAAAGTCTTAAAATATTTATCTGAACCATAACATAATCTTCACATCACTAAGAAATAGCATTACACAACAAAAATATTGCAACTCAACAGTGCAACAACCTGCCGCACATATTCCCCAAATGGCATGGCATGGGCTGTGTGTGGCAGCAGTAGCTTGAGGAGGGAGCACTGAACAGGAAGCAGAGCAGCAGGTCAGGCAAGAGAAAGGGATCAGAATGGCACTAGGGCTAAGTATAGACAGTCAAAACTACTAAGGCTGAATCCATTCAATCTTTGCTGGTTAATCTAAACTGCGCAGATCGAACTGATAAGCAAGTGAACCTTCACTTTTGATTCTGGAAATGCAGTCACATGCCTGCAGTGGCCCAGGCCAGAAACTGGGAGATGCTAGAGCACACATCCCTGCTCACCTGGAGGAGATGGTTTGGGCAAAGGTAAGCCCACCCATCCTGCTGGGGAGGGAGCGGGGTGCAAAGCATCCTGAGGTGCTGAGGGACTATAAGTTAACTTGAATCTGGAGGAGATCTGGGAGAGAAATTCAATAAACCGATTTAACCTAGATCAGTTAAGTCTGATATTACATGCAACCAAGTTTATCTTAAATCAATTCCGGCCATTCTGAAAGCAGTTTATGTGCACTGAACTTCTGTTGTGTTACAGATCTGGATCAGTTTCTGAAGAATTATACCAGTGTATGTGCAATTTCTGTCCCTAGCCCAGGAGGATGTGGGACTTCAATCTGTGGCATCTGAGGCAGTTGTCTGATGTGACTGCAGAGACACTGGCTGTCATCTTTAAAAACTCATGATGATCAAGAGAGGTCACAGATGATTGGAAAAGGGCAAAGATAGTGACCATATTTAAGAAAGGGAAAAAGAAGGATCCAGGGAACTACAGACCAATCAGCCTCACTTCAGTCCCTGGCAAAATCAAGTGGAATGCCCCAGGGGTTGGTTCAACGTCTTCATCAATGACCTGGAAGGTGGCATGGAGTGCATCCTCAGCAAGTTAGCAGATGACACCAAGCTGAGGGGAGTAGTAGATACACTGGAGGGTAGGGCTAGGATTCAGAGGGACCTAGACAAATTGGAGGATTGGACCAAAAGGAATCTCATCAGGTTCAGTAAGGACAAGTTTAAAGTCCTACACATAGGATGGAACAATCCCATGCACCAGTACAGGCTGGGGGCTGATGGGCTGGGCAGCAGCACTGCAGAAAAAAACCTGGGGGTTGCAGTGAACAATAAGCTGAACATGAGCCAACAGTGTGCCCTTGTTGCCAAGAAGGCTAACAGCATACTAGGGTGCATTGGTAGGTGTATTGCCAGTAGATAAAGGGAACTGATTATTCCCCTCTATTCAGCACTGGTGAGGCCACATCTGGAGTACTGTGTTTAGTTTTGGGTCCCCCACTACAGAAAGGATTTGGACAAATTGGAGAGAGTCCAGTGGAGGGCAACAAAAATGATGAGGGGACTGGAGGGCATGACTGGAGGACATGACTGGATAAGGAAGGACTGAAGGAACTGGTCTTATTTAGTCTAGAGAAGAGACTTAGGGGACTTAATAGCAGCCTTCAACTACTGAATGGGGGTTTGAAAGAGGATGGGATGGCAGTGGTGGCAGATGACAGAACAAGGAGCAATGGTCTCAAGTTGCAGCAAGGGAACTTTAGGTTAAATATTAGGAAGAACTTTCTGGCAGCAGCAGGAAGTGGGCCCTTGGGGTGCTCATGACCCCGGCAGGCAGAGCCCCCTGGTGGTGTGCAGCTCTGGCTGAGTCCCAAGGTGGCACATGGCTCATGGCAGCATGAACGGACCCAGCCTGCTGACATGTCCCTTCACACCAGACTGAGCTGGCTCTGTGCCAGCACCTGGGGCTTACAGCACTCTAGGCAGAAGCTGCATGCCTTTGGGCTGAGCCAGGCTGGGCTGGCTCTGTGCCTCCATGTGTGGCTCCTCATGGCTCCTGGTCCATGCACCATTGGGCCAGGTGGGCTCCATACCTTCACATGTGGATCTGTGATCCCGCTGGAATGCTGGAAGCCCCACATGGAGGCACGGAGCTAGCCCAGCCTGGCCTGATGGCACACAGCTCCCACCTGTAGTGCCATGAGCCCAGCATGCTGGCACATAGCCAGCCCAGCCTGACCTGAAGGTGCATGCTCGTGGGCCAGGTCAGCTCTGTGCCACCACGTGCAGCCCCCAGGACTCAGCTGAAGCGCTGCTGGGGGGCTCTGCCTGCCACGGCCATGAACACCTCAAGGGCCCACCGCCTGCTACTGGTGCTGCTGCTGCCACCAGCAGCAGGGGCTGTGCACCACGGGGGAGGGGCTTGTGGTCCACACCCACCCACAAACCCCACACCCCCATCCTGCAGGTGGCAGCTCCCCTCTCCACTCACCAGCTACGCTCTGGAGAATTACGAAGTATTATATGGTTATGCGCAGTCATACACTTTATACGCAAACTTATATGGGTGCAGAATTGCATAATTCCCTGGGGTGTAAGCAGGCCTCATGACCACTGCGGCCCACCTTTGCAGCCCACTGAGAGAGAGGGGGCACACAGGCTCAAAGGGGAGTAGCCAAGATGGCAGCTACCCCCCATGGCTGATTGGCTGAGGGCTGCCTATTGTGCAGCCCTGTCCCTCTGCATCAACCAACAATGAGGGGTATGGCCATGTCCTGTGGTTAGTCTTGTTATGAGGGGTGGCCAGTCAGTGATGAGGGGTGGGGCCACATGATGGACAGCCCTCTTGGCCAATTAGCAGTGAAGGGAGGGTCTGCATGACAGAAAGCCCTCTCAACCAATTAGCAGCGAGGGGCGGGGCCACCACAACCCCTTGGCCAATTAGAGGCATGGGGGAGGTGATAAGCCTGCAAAAATGGCAGCTGAATGCCTGCCTTCTCAATTTGGGTAGGTCCTGAATCATTTGAATATACCTTCCATATTTAGCCTGTCTTAGAAAGCTCTATAGAGAAGAGTATTTTTCAGCTTTCTAATTTCTTAATGTTTCACCTGGTATTAGTGCATGCATGCTTCAAGTACATGCTGGTTAGTATAGGCTAAGATACCCCAAGACAGTGACTCTTAACCAGAGTGCCACTGAACCCTGGGGTGCTTTGAGATCTATTCAAGGGTGCCATGGGATGCCATGAAATGTCAGCACTGTTATGTGCCCAAACATGATTCACAAGATAAATCTAGAATTTTCAAATAGGCATCCATAACATAAACACCATTCTGACCTGGTAGGGGCTTTTATGTGTTCTTTGCAACAGAAGAATTGTTCTATTATTTTTTCTGTAGTCAAAAATCAGTGAAAACTAAGAACTAGCATTTTCTAAGGAGTGTCTCAAGTCTAAATAGGTTACGAAGCACTGTTTTAAGGCTTTTTTATGTGAAGGTGGAATATTTCCTTTTTTCCCTACCTTTAGCTTAGTCCCATAGTGTGATCCAAACACCAGCTGACAGCTGAACAAGAAAAACTGACAGAGGTTGGTTCCAGAAGCTTACAGTATATTTGTCCTAAAATCTATCAGAGATAATGTACATTAAGCTATGGACTAGTTTTTTATTCGGTGGCAGCTAAAAGATTCTGTGCTACAAACAGGATAAGTACACAACAAGAAGAGGAAAACTTGACTGACACATTAATATGATGTTATTAAGTGAATATAGTGCTGATATTAAATATAATATTAATATTATATTTACTTGGGAACCTTTGCACTCACTATTTTAAGGTAATTTGTAAATCTAGTTTCATACACAGAATTTAAAATGAAATATCAAGCTATATAATGCTATGTAACATTTGGAAATGTAAATGGGACAACATTTTTAGTCAGCAGTCAATTCTATGTAAAACTGGAATAGGAATATAAATATATCTGGCACACCAAAATGTATCATCTATGACATGTATTTTTATATTCTTACATCATACAACTTTATATTCTTACATCCAACAATTTTAAACTCAAAGTATATTTCTTATATTCTAAACCACATGGAACTAATTTAGGAAAATATCATTTCAAAGAATAACATAAATGATTAATAATTTAAACCATATAGTTTATGGTATACTGTATACCAAGATACCGGCTAAAATTTATCGACATGCTCCTGTTAACAACCCTTTGGAAATGTAGTCAGGCAACCATGCTGGTCAATAAATAGTAACACCAGCTGTTACACAATTTAATACTAAAAATAAGTGGAATAATTTCAATATCTTTTGAACTACAGTGTATTTTGATTGATTAACTATCTGGACTAAGACTAAAGATAACAGGTTTTTCTTTACTTTTGCTAGTTTATATTCAAGGGGATGAAGGCAAATGGGAAATAATCCAGCTTGATATAAGGGTCAAGTGATTATTGTCCAGTGTAGAAAAATAGCTTCCTAAAATATAACATAGTATTACAATTTAATGTAGAGGAATCATCTTTGTTTTATATATTAATTTGCTCCTCTGGATGTCAGCTGTAATGAATTTCAGCTTTCACATGTTTTGATCTTTGTGGAATGTTATTACTGTAGTTTTTAAAATTACCCAGTTAAAATATTTTTTGTGCACATAACTTACTTACCACTATAATTTCCTACCAACAGAAGCCCTTTGTTACCATACTTTATACTGATAATTTAATACAATTTTTGCATGTTTA